GACTTTATGAAGAAGAGGATTTGGTGAGAGAGTCAAAATAACAGACTGTCTGTACCTTTAGTTTTCATATATATATAATATATATATATTTTTTAAGCGACTTGGTGAAGTTTTTAAAGAGCTTTAAGGACACACAGTAAATGCCAAACTTGAACTACTACATGACATCTTCTGAAGAAACGTTTGTCACACAGATATTCTAGTTATACATAACATCGCTACAGGAATTTTTAAAAGCAAAACTTGACATTGACTGGAAAGTATCCCAAAATCCTGTGGTCTTCAGCAGCCTGGGAAGATCTGGATTCTTATCAAACACTCTTTCGGGAACACTTACAGTTCTCGAGGGGCATGAAAAACTTGCAGCGAAGTCCAGAAATGTTTCCTTGGGGCATGGTATTATGAGTGGTTCCCAGTTCAATGACACATCTCTGTGTGGGGAGAAGGGTTCGTGTCTCTGTATGAGCCCCGCCAGAAACAGATACCCAGCCTGATGGACTCAGAGCTATATTTGGGGTTCTTCCTGGTTTAAAAAAATAACATGTTTTCCTTCAGGATTTTTAGATACTTCATACACTTTCCTTTACTTCAAAGCATCAATGTCTTCTTTGGTCTGGCTCAATGCTGGAGATAAAGCATAAGCCTTCAGATGATTGCCAGCAGCTCTGCCCATTTTCTGAGGAATTAAAAAGAAACCCTACGGAAGCATGAAGATTACTTACTGTACTCTGTGAACAAGCAGGGTTGTAAAATAGTCTCTGTATTTTGTTCTCCCTCCAAGAAAGCTCCTTGCTCAAGCCCAAGTCCCTGATGGCAGACCATGCTGTGCTGTATAGTCCCTTTCTACTCCCATCCATTCAACCATCCTTTTGATGGGTGACAATTCCCATATCAATATTTCTCTCCCTGCCTAAGGTATTGAGGAAAAGGGGAGGCGGCCCTGTCGGACGTCCTCTGGCTTTCAAGGAAGAAGGAGACACCAACTACACATTAGGCTAAGACCGAGAGCCACTAGCGGCATGCTTCCACACACTACCCTGCTTTTACCTATTCTGACACCAACCAACGGTTCTGCCCAACATTGTCTGATGCATTTCATCATCTGTTGCAATGGCCACACACAACACACAGACATCATTTGTGACTATGGGGGTTTATTAGGCAAGTTTACAGATTACCACACGTCAGGATTAAAAAAAATATTAAGGATACCGTCTTTGGTCCACTTGCTTCTAATATGAAATCATCTAAAACTTCAATTTTATCTTCATTTGTCATGATTTTTTGTTCCAGTTGTTGTTGTTGTTCCAGTTGTGAGACTTCTTGTGTTCTTAACACTCAGGTGTAATCTACGGAAGGGTGTAGCGCTTTATCTTCCTAATTAGGAGCATCAGGGTGTCTCCATTTTCAACAAGCAGCGCGGTGCCAGCTGAGGGCAGGCTTTTAATGAGTCTTTCTACAATCCTGATGCCACGTTCTTCTTCCTAGTGTCCAGTTTTCAGATTATTTGTCAACCTACTGACTGAATAAGGTGAAATGGTACAATCTTCTGGTATATCTTTTCCAATTCTAAACCACAAACTAACCACTTGTATTTAAGTGACTGCCTCTTGTCCATCTTCATGAAGTGTTCCGAAAGTCCATTCTTCCTAATGTTATCCATAACTCGTTCAGATCCACACAATTGAATGTCTTTGTGTAGTTGATGAAACATGGATAAACAAGCTCCCTGCTATTCTCTGCGTTCAACCTAGATCCAGTTGTCATAGCAATGCTCTCCCTTCTTCTGTGTCCTCTTCTGAAATAGGTCAGAAATACTTATATGCAAATATTATTCACCAAAGTAAACTCCCAGTGTTTAGTTGCTGGTGGAGAGATTGAAACACCTTGAAAGTTTATGATTCCATTACCATTATCCTAGTTCAGAATGCATTCAGACAATGAAGAATTCCTAGCATTAATGGACTTTGGAGGTCACAGTAGCTTTGCGATCATGTGTGACTTTGGACCAATGCTCCAGCTCTATTCCTAGTGTTCTTCAGTGACGAAGAAAGTACCCTCTGGGCCAATGACCTCATATACAAAAGGCCCGTCGCAGCACTTGCCCTCCCGCAGCCATGTGCGGATGAAATCAGAGATGTCTGAAGGACCTGTGAATTTTCAAGTAAATGGAACACTTCATTCTTTAGATTAACATTTATTTGGAAGCATGTAATGTGCCTATCAGGCACAGCTAAAAGACTCTGTGGCCAAAGAATTTACCACAGAGTTGGAAAAAACTAAGACTAAGTTCTATGAAGATTTAAATAGATATCACTCCAAAAACAATAGTTTTATGACATTTCAGTTATGGTGGAGCTCAAGGCTGCAACAGAGACATATTAACCATAAATCCAAACTCAATGCCCTCCAGTTGATTCCAGCTCACAGCGAGCCTGTACGATGGAGTAGAGCTGCCACTGTGGTTTTTGGAGACTGTAACTCCTTTTTAAAAAAAATCACTTTATTGGGGGCTCATGCAGCTCTTACACCATCTATCCATCCATCCATCGTGTCAAACACATTTGTACATATGTTGCCATCATCATTTTCACAACATTTTCTTTCTATTTGAGCCCTTGGTATCAGCTCCTCATTTTTTTCCCTCCCTCATGAATCCTTGATAATTTATAAATTATTATTATTTTTCCATGTCTTACATTGACTGATCATGTCTCCCTTCACCCACTTTTCTGTTGTCTGTTTTCCTGGGTTATATGTAGATCATTGTGATCGCTTCCCCCTTTCTTCTCCCCCCCCTTCCCCTTCCCCTCCTGGTATTGCTACTATCATTATTGGACCTGAGCGGTTTATCTGTCTTGGATTCTATGCGTTTCCAAGTCTTATCTGTACCCATTTACATGCATTGGTCTAGCTGGATTCATAAGGTAGAAGTGAGGTCATGATAGGGGGAGTAGGGGTAGGAAGCATTAAAGAACTAGAGGAAAGTTGTATGTTTCATCAGTGCAATACTACACCCGGACTGGCTCACTTCTTCCTTGTGACCTCTCTGTAAGGGGATGTCTAATTGCCTACAGATGCGCTTTGGGTCTCCACTCTGCACTCCCCTTCATTCACATTGATGTGATTTTTTGTTTTGGGTTTTTGATGCCTGATACCTGATCCTATCGACACCTCATGATCACACAGGCTGGAGAGCTTCTTCCACATGGGCTTTGTTGCTTTTCAGCCAGATGGCGGCTTGTTTATCCTCAAGCCTTTAAGACCCCTAGATGCTATATCCCTTGATAGCCGGGCACCATCAGCTTTCTTCATTACATTTGCTTATGCACCCATTTTGTCTTCAGCGATCTTATTGGGAAGGTGAGCATCACGGGATGCCAGGTTATGAGAAGAAAGTGTTCTTGCATTGAGGGAGTACTTGAGTAGAGGTCCAATGTCCACCTGCTACCTTAATACTAAACCTATAAATATATGCACATAGATCTATTTCCCCGTCGTCATATAAAAATGTATTTACATATGTATATGCCTGTATTTAGACCTATATAAATGTCCTTTGCCTCCTAGTTCTTTCCTCTATTTCCTTTTACCTTCCTCTTGTCCCACTATCATGTTCGGCCTTCATATGGGTTCAGTAATTCTTCTCAGTTACATTGCCCTTGATTAAGCCCTACCAGGCCTCCTACACCCTCCTCGGCATCTATTTTAGATCACTTGTTTTTCCCTTGTCCCTGGGTTTATTAACACCCACTTCCTTTCCCCTGCCTCCCCCTCTCCTGTGTCCCCCTGGAATCATCAGTCCTGTTGTTTTCTCCTCTGGATTGTTTATCCTGCCTATCTTATCTAGATAGATATGCAGAGACAATAATAAGCATAAAAACAAGACAGAGCAAAACAAAACAACAACAACAAAAAGAAAAACCTCTAAATAATTCTAGGTCTGTTTGTTGACCTTCAAGAGTGTTTTCCGTTGAATATAATGGGGTGCCATGCCCTGGCCCCAAAGTCTATTTTTGGCTTTCCCAGGGGACTTCACTGCTTTGCTCCCCTTGCTGCTCCATTGCACCCCCTTAGTGTTTTGCCCTGGTGTGGCAGGATCAGATCGGGCACAATTCCTGCACTGTACCTCCAGTGCTGTCCCTCAAAGTGCTGTGGGTCAGTGAGGGATGTCGTGAGACTGTAACCCTTTATGGGAGTAGAAAGCCTTGTGTTCTCCCATGGGCCTGCTGGCTGTTTCCAACTGCTCACCTGGAGGTTAACAGTTCAACAGACGGAGGCCATTCACTTGCTTTGGCTTTTACCAAATGGCTTAATACTAACACCAGTAATAGCCTTTACTATCATAAATGGATAACAGATGCATTGTATTTACATCTTTCAGTTCAGTTAGAACTAAGATAATTAGCAACGAGCATCCAACACCGTGCCAAAGAAAATCTTCTCTTCTCCCAGAATCCCACATTGATGTGAGATGCCTGAGTTGACAGTGCACCTACTAGGGAGCTATCAGTGTTCTCTGTGGTCTCCGTCCTCAATCCAAATGTTCTGGCTACTTCTGTGCCAACCTATATGGGCCTCACTGAAACAGGAGTGCCTGGGGCAGTCTTCTTCCTTTTTTGCCTCACCCTGAAGTCCCACCTATTTTCAGGCGCTCTGCAAGAAGGTCAATGGGTGGTGTGGCGCAGTATGGATTTCCCCTTTCTCTTCCAAGAGGCCACACCCAACACAAGGCCTTCATTGTGTCTTGGGGAACAGTAGTCCCACAGTATTGGGCTGCTCGCTGCCCCTGTTACATGAAGCCAGTGGCTCCTGGCCATCTGGGCCACTGACGAGGTGGAGCTGCTTCAGGAGGGATGGGAGGAGGAGTGGAGGCGCGCACTCTAGGGCCGCGCGGGCGCCCCAGATCCCGCACGCAGGGACACGCGCGGGCGCGGGCGCGGACGCACCTGAAGGCGGGGCCAAACCTCGCTCTGGGCCCGCGAAGCCCCCTCCCCCGGGCCCTTCCCGCCGCGCTGCAGCAGCGGGCAGGTGCGTGAGGCGGTGCGGGTAGAGGACTGTGCAGACGCGGACTAGCCATGGAACACATCCGCACGCCTAAGGTTTGTAGCAAGAGCGCGGGCGGCACAGCGGAGGGGGCGGAGTGGGCGGAGGGAGATGATAAGGCTGGAGGCCCATCTCCTAGGGGACCGGGCCGAGCAAGGACCGCGGGCCAGGGAAGAGGAGGGGCGCAAGAGCATCTCAGGGCTAGCTGAAGGGGCTGGCCTTGCTCTCACTGCCTCCCAGGCCTGGCCTTGGCTGCAGCCGCATCAAACCTCTTGTCCTTGGGAGATGCGCAGTGAGCCTCGATTGTCTGCCGGTGAACAGATCCACGCTTCCTTTTTGTCCTGGTATATAGGCGTTATTGCTGTTGGCTGCTCTCAGGAGTTGAAAGGAAAACTACTCTATGATGACAGGTGGAAGGAAAAATGAGCCATAGGCTGTTATAGGTTTAAAATACTCAGCATCTTCTTGAATCTCTGGGTCCTTTAGAGTCGCTCACCTGGGCCGTCCCCATCTTGTGACGAGGAGCCGCAGTGAACCGTCCACAGAGTGGGTGATTAGTAACCCTGGTAGGTAGAATGAGGGCATCGATTCTTCACTGATCATCCTTTTCCGGGTCTGATTCAATCTTAGAAGGATACAACTTTCCGATGCATGGGTCTTAAACAACACTAGCTTTTGCCAGTCCACAAAAGCAACCGCCCCCCCCCCATCATCCCAATGAACTCACAGAAAACCTTGAGTTTTGTGCCAAGCCTTCTTATTTGTAGTTACTTTGTTCAGATACTTTAGGATGAAACAAACAAACAAGCAAAACATTCTTGTCTTATAAAAACCCTAAAGCGATGAAAGAATATATTTTAAAAGCCTATTGGCTATGTCTTATTATTGTCATCACAGCTTGTTGGGTTTCTAGGATGATCTCATGGTCAAAAATCTAGGCCTCTGACAGAGTTTGGGAGTGACCAGAGCCCAGGCAGCCCTAGGAATTTCAACCAATTCACAGGAGGCGATTGCTTTACCTTATGTCCAGCAAGAAGGAATTCTTCCTCAATTCTGGAAAGATTCCGAAGCACTTCTTGGTAAAAGCAGCTTTTAAATGTTCTCTTGGGAGTGGAAGAATAAATCTTTTAGTTTGCTGGACAACAGCAGTTTCCACAGTAAATTTAAATGGCATTGATTTTGCTCTATGGAATTAAATTGTTGCTTCACAATCAGGCAATTGAAAACTTAGAAGAGAGTGCCATCAACCGCAAGAGAGGTGGCTGTAAGCTTTCAGGGCTTAAGTGGTATTAAATAATTCAAAGGGATGAATTCACTCATGGACCCCCTCTGCCCTTGCCCAGGACATCCTTTCTTTGGAGGAGGAAAGGGGCTATATGACAATGATCTTTGAAGTCCATTTCAGCAATCAGGGTGTTAGGATGACTGCCATTTGGTGTAGCAAATGAATTTGAGGAGGAAAGACCTTTTCTAGTGTATATACAAACTCACCTTGGAAGAAGCCATGTGTGTAAAGGTGAGTGGCAAGCAATATTGTCATCCTTACTTTTAGAATTGTACACACACACACACACACACACACACACACACACACACCCGCCCCCCCCATGCTCTCTAAGCATGTTAGTACTTCAGAAATTCTCTATCAGGAAATGGAAAGAACTAGAGAAAACATGAGAATTATCTGAAATATCACTGAAGGTCATTCCCATTTAAGATAATGCAGTTAAAAAATACCTGAAAGCAATAGAGAACAAGACCACTTACAGAGCACATGCATAAAATACACATATAATTGTTGATGGTCATGTTCATCTTTATCACTTGCCTCCATTGCACCCCGCAGGAATGGAACAGGTAGATTGCCTTACATTTCCTGGTTTCCTACCTTGGGTGGCTTGCTATGATTACAAACCAAGTTTGTTTATCTTATCCACTGTGAACGGAAAGCAACCTTATAAATAGCAGGTTTTTGTTTTAAGAGAAAAAGAAATGTTTGCATATATGAGGTACACTTGCTTTCCTAGTACCATAAAAAATCATTCATTTACTCTTTTTAAAAACTGTGTAATATCCATCACAGCCTCTGTGTCTTGTTTCAGTCTCTGCGGTGTAATTTAAGGAGACAGATGTATGTGAATAATCTGGAACGCCTTGCACATATTTTGTTTGGAGCCTGTGTGATTGTGTTTAACTGAAGGTTTCATCATATGCTAAGCAGGGTACTCCTCTCCCAGAATGGATCATATACAGAAGAAAAAGGAGAGGGAGGAATGTGTCAAGGACGAGCTAGTTTGCAGCTGGAAGAAATTGAGGACAGCCATATGCCTTATCTGCACTCATCATAGTAAATCGTTGGGCGTGCACTTCACTGCTTGGCTTCGTTCCGTACTTCAAAACCTTGTTTGGATGAAATTATTCTGCCTGAAGTTCAAGGACAATTTGAGTTCAAATACTATAGTATTATGAAAAAGTTTCCAGGACCTTAGAGTATCTGGAAGTATCTGTGGGAGATGGATAGGTAGGACATTGATGTTAATGTGTCTATAATCCTGGGTGAGTAATCTCTAGTTTCTATGTATGGGTCTTTTTGGTAGATCCCTTTTCCACATGTGAATTAAATTACTTTTAGCGCGTGTGCATAAAACACATAATTGTTGATAATCAAGTTCATCTTTATTATTTACTTCCATTAGACTCTTGTTCTTGAAGAGGTAGGTTGTCGTAGTGTTTGTGGTGTCATATCAAAGTTTGACTTTGACATTGTTATGAATAGACTTTGAAGATGCCTCCCTCAGCCTCATCTGAGCCATTATTCTGAAAGCCTTCAAATTGGTCTTCTAGACACTTTTGCTCTTCTTTCACCGCTTGTCCGCAGAGGAGCCTGACTGATGGTTTTAGGTATACATGGATAGTGTCACCTCTCTGCTGAAATTAATAGGTGACTTCCCATTGTATCCAAAAGTAAAGTGAAAATCTCCAATCACCCCTGAGACCTCAGTCCCTGCTTACTTCCCCTGCCTCGTTTTCTGAGACTTCTTTATTTCCTGTCCGCCTTCTGGCCTTCATAGGTTTCTCAAATGTACCTCATGCTTTTGCTACCCTGGGCCTTTTGCACTACTGTTTGGGGGGACAGTCATATTTTCACTTTGAAAAAGAAATTCATTTGTCTATCGAAGGAGTAGAAACATCTAAGCAGAGTTTGGATGACTCTTGTTACCGAAGCATTCTGATCATCTGAGGAGAGAGCACACTAGAGCCATATTTGAACCGCAGGCCAGCGAGGCTGCTTCATACACCTTGACTGCTGAGAATTCGCTCTTTCCAGCCAAGTCCATATGTTCATAGGCAGCTCAGACCACTGCAGCTTCCCTTGGGAGATTGCCCAAGACACCAATCCTCTTTCTAGGAAATTATCCTTCAAGCGTTCCATGCTCTGTTGCCTTCTCTCTAATCCTTCCCTTCTAAGTCAGCGGTTCTCAACCTGTGGGTCGTGACCCCTTTAGGGTCGAATGACCCTTTCACAGGGGAAGTCAAGGGGATGCTGCAAAAGCAGGTACCTACACTTTCTCCTAGATTATGGGCTATAGTACAAACATTTTTTATTACTGGGGAATGACAAGTCATTTTTTTTCTGAAAGGGGAACATTGGGCCAAATAAGCTTAGGAGTCTATGCTACAGAGAGTCACTCAGATGGAAGCTACTTGATGGCAGGGTACAATTCAGTACCCACCTTGTTAGTGGTACACAGTACACAGCCATGTCTTTGTGGCTTTATGGTAAGCGTAAAAACCAACCTGTTACACCTGCGTTGATATCCACACATGACCATCCCATGTGCTACCAACTCCAACCGCTCCCTAAGCGTTTCTCGGCCTTCATCTTTAGGAAGTAGATCGCCAGGCCAAGCTGATACGGTGCCACTAGGTGGGCTCAAACTGCCCACCAGAATTTTAAAGGAGAGAATAATACTTCATTCTTTCATTGCCTTTGAAAAATCATTAGTGAGGCTTTTTGACTATTTTGTGACTTCTCTGGATTATCTGCTTTGTGCGTTGATAATAATCGGTGATTTGAGTTCATGCATCTTGCATGTCTTTCTAACTGCATAAGCGCCTTATTGAGATGCATAGCCCATGGCATGGGATTCACTCGTTCGAAGTGGATGACTGCTATTTAGTGCATTCACAAAATCCCGGGAAGATCTCCACCGTCTAATTCCACACTGCTTTCATCACATCAACCAGAAACTTCATCTCCATTAGTTACTCTCCATTCTAACTCTCTCCCTACCTCAAAAGGCCCACCACTCTACCTGAAGGATTTGCTTGTTTTGGACAGTTTAAGTAAATGGAGCCATAGAAAATGTTGGGGTCCTTTTTTGTGTGGGGGCAGTACCTCTGGGTACTTTCACTTACCATGATAAATTTTTAAGGTTTCACCCAAGTTGTTACACGTATCATTACTTCATTCATTTTTATTGTTGGAAAATATATTGTATTCCATTCCTCAGTCTATGGACATTTGGGTTGCTTCCATTTTGAGGGCTGTTATGAATCATGTTGGAGTCCCAGTGGCATTATGGTTACACATTGGGCTGGTAAGTGAAAGGTCAGTAGTTCAAAACCACCAGTTGGTGTTGCCTTAATCATGAAAACAGTTCATGATATATTCTGAAGTACAATACTGTGTGTGATAAGACAATATCTATATGCCTAGCAAGACAGCTTAATATGTCTATTATTATGATTTATGCACCAATTGCTAAAAATCAATGATGAAGAAATTGAAGAATTCTACCAACTTTTTCCATCTGAAATTGATCAAATATATAATCAGATGCATTGGTAATTACTGGTGATTGCAATGCTAAAGTTGGAAGTGAGGAGGAAGAATAATGTACACGTGAAAACTGCATAATCAATGAGGAAGACTTGACAACAAAGATTAATAACACCCTTTGCCTCTGAGGCATCGGGTCCCTTGTGTTGCGGTGTAGAACTGCACTCCAAAGGGTTTTCCTGGTCCTGATCTTTTGGAAGCAAATCGCCAAGT